TATAACACCCAGATTTTTGACTGTAGAGGAAGTAACCGTCTAGTTGCATAGTTGCAAATTGTAATCCACGAGATTCGGCGTACTGTCTTTTGGTCCAATAAGTAATATCTCTGTCTTATAATAGGAGACTTGTTGAGATATATAGTTGAGTATCATCGGCATAACAGTGGAAACTAATCCCGTATTTTCTAATAATATTACCAAGGGGCAACATGTATATCGAAAATAGCAGAGGACCTAGGACAGATCCTTGTGGCACTCCATATTTTACTGGTGATAATTGAGATGACTCTTCTTTTTTTAATCCCACACAGCCACTAAACATTCATTTAAGTCATCATGATTTTGTTGGAAATCAACAATCGGATCATAGAGGAGACTCTCACCCTGAAGTTCGACAGCGCGAGCAACGGGTAAGAGGAAGATCTTCCTGTCCGAGACACAACTCGCGTCAAGCATCGCTCATCTCCTGCATGCATGCTTTGACACGAGCCATGTTTTCTTTGCATGGATAAGATCACACGATAACGCACGCTTTCGTGTTGGATTGATTTCGTTCTGTCAGATCATTTGTTGATTGTCGAGAACTGAAGCATCAGGTATGGGGTGTGTCCAGCAAGGTTAGGTCACGTAAAAAACATTTATGTGTGAGTGACTTAGTGCTGGGCGGTATACCGGTTTATTATCGAATACCGGTTTTTATTTTTGTTATGATATTAATTTTTTACCCTATTAACCCTTTGAAGGGATGTTGTTATATCCTGTTTGCCTAAGGCTCAAAGGTTACTTCAAGTGTACAATCTCAGCTAAGATGCTCAAATTTTTCTCTTTATTATTCTCAAAAACATATTCACACTTCGTATCTGGAATCGTCTTAGAAAGCATTTTTCCCTTTCACAGGAGACAAGCTGACATGTTTCTAATATCTGAATGAGATGCAGAAGATGAGGATGTTTGGCGATGTTGCTTTTATGTGGCTACAAGAAAGCAGAAGATTAGAGATGTTTGCTGGAATTTGAAACATCCTAATGGTCACAAGATCGTCATTCGTGTTCAGTCTAAGTCATAAACATGATCAAAACACTAAAAGTGAAACTAAGAATCATGTGGCCTAAAATCATCCAAATATATTTATTATATGAAGTCATGAGGCTATATTCTGGAACCCAGTTCATAACCAAATGCATTTTGAGTGTGAATACTTTTGGCACATTTGGTGAGAATTTTATTTACATTTAAATGACAAAATAAAAAATGTGAAAGAGTACAAC